CACATAAACGTAAGAAGTGTAAGTAAAAGCTTCAACAAACCAAAGATTTTCTTATTTAAAAAACTCAAATAAGTTGTAATAATAGAATAATTTTTTAAAGTTACTCTTGGTTGTGCGGAAAATTTGTTTTTGATAATTATTGTTTTGATAATTATCATTAATGTTATGAAAAAATTGCTACAGAAGAGTGCCACCAGTTTTTAAAAATTTCCTTTGTTAATTATTTTTAATGAATCAGTTAAATACTTTTGCAATTCTTTTGTTACTTAATCTAACTCTTAATAATAGATATAAAAAATCCATGATAATAATCGCTCGATAACTTAAGTGATGTAACGTAAGTTAGATATATAGTATCAAAAAAAAAACAGTTTATTTTCCTTAGCCGGCCACTTCTGATAAATTTTAAATTTTTTTTAAATTGGTATAGAATTCTCAACATCTTGTGAAAGTTTCTAATACAAAAAGCTTTACTGATTCGCAGAAATCTGACCTAAAAGTTGAAGCATTTTTTTACCTTGTTTTCAGCGAAATGTAACTTAAGTGGCATTTTCAGTAATAAGTTCGCCCTCTATTGGCCAGATTCAAAACTTTTTAGTTTATTTTTTAGACTAACATATTTCACACAAAATAGCTAAAAATTTAATTTACAGTTTAGATAGGCAAATATTTGATTAAGTTGTTGTGCATGTAAAGTAAGTTAAAAATGGAATAGCCCATACACGAACCTTGACGAACAAGGCCGCTGCGCTGAGAAACGAGTTGAGCGCGGTACTACCAGGGATGTGGTGGGGATCAAACTCGGAATCACTTGTGTATGAAGCGAGCGCTCTACCACTACACCACTAACGCATAACTGCGTATTTTGTTCAAATTATAAAACTATTGATAAACTTACATCTATAATGTCTTATTGTTTATTAAACGTGGATAAATCACTCACTATTACTTTTCTAAAGTATGCTAAAAAATTCTTTCCTTTGTCACCCAATCAATATTGTGGCTTTCTACAATATTGGATTTTTTTAAGGCAATCATTATCCTTTCCATCAGCATTATTGGAAAAAATGCCATGAATACCATATTTGTTGAAATCAATCCCTGGTCATTACTTAGAAACTTAGCATCTTTATGAAAAACATTTTAACAAAACAAAAGTATGAAGAGTATTTTAATAAATCATAATATAAGTTGTGCATTAAAATTTATTGCTAATAAAAAAAATATGATTCTATACTCACAACTGCTTGATTTTTTTTTTATTGAATTTTATTTGCATTCACCCCCAACAAGGCTGCAAGCAACCACTGTTAAGTTGGGAGTTACTAGGAAAAAAAAGAACAGAGTTATAGAGCAAGGAAACGGTTGACAGAAGACTTGAAAAGTTGAAGATTGTATGAGTCAGGAAAACATGAAGATAGGAAAGAGTTCCAAAGAATTGAAGTGCGGAGAAAAAAACTAGATGAATAAAAGTTTTTAGAGCATGCAGGGACAGATACAGTAAACAAATGAGACTTAGCTGAATGACGAGTAAAACGAGAATGAATTTTAGTTGATGGAACTAGAGATGATAACTCCTTTGAGCAGTGACCAGTATTTGTAGAAAAGAGAAAGAGATGCAACTTTACGACAATGGGAAAGAGGCTCAAGCTTAGCAGATAGTCCAGGTCCAACAACATTTACAATGCGTTTTTGGACCTTGTCAAGAAGAGAAAGTGAATCATTAGAAGAACCAGCCCAAATATGACAACAGTATTCCATACAGGGACGAATAAGAGATTTGTAGAGGTAGAGAATGGAATCAGAAGTAAGGAAATGGCGAGCACGATAAAGAGAAGCAACCTTAGCAGAATCTAATTTAGCAATCGATTGTATATATGGTTTCCATGAAAGGTCAGTAGTAAGCGATAATCCAAGAAGACGTAAAGAGGAGGACTCAGTAAGAGGGTTGCCATTCATTAATATAGGAATGTTGACCATGTTACGGTAGTTGTTTGCAGTAAACAACTGTGTTTTGTTAGAGTTGAAATTCACAAGCCACTGTGAACCCCAATCTATTACTGAAGTGAGATTAGATTCAAGATCAGCTGCTTGTTCTAGGCGATCGAAAAGAGAAGACTTTTTGTCAAGACTTTAACTGAATTATTGATGAATGGTTTATACTTACGACATCACAAAACCCTACTATGGCTTTTAGTATAAAAAATCACTAAATTTACAATCAAACAAAAGCTTTTTTTAATGATGATCAATATAAAGGCACTATGTGGATTAAATGTATTGAGCCAAAGTAGAAAACTAAGGTGGAAACTTATTCCATCTGGTAGAATTTGTCAACAACCAAATATTCTTTTTTTTTAAAAAACTTTTAATATGAAATTGCGATTTACCCAAAACTACTTGAAAAATATTTATAACTGGTACGTTCACAAAACAAGTAATTCCTACAGCTTTTCAATACAAAAATGATAAAAACTTATTTGTGTTGCTTAACTCGTAAAAATATTACATTATCAAAATGCAGTTACAATACCGTATAATGACCATCAATTCTTATTGTGTTTCCTTGACTAAGTGTACAGTAAGGTGCACAATCCACACAAAAATAGCACATTGTTTTACTCTAAGATTTGGATAAATTTTAAGTTTAATCTTGAGTAATACTGAGCCAAACTGTTTTTTTATAATGTATTTTAATGTAATTATTAATGTAAAATATATATGAGTTTTAGAGTTGAGGAAATTTAAAGAATTTTTCTGATTTGTTTTGAATCTCGATATTTTAAAAAATTAAGTAAATGCTGATTATACAATGTTTGTTACATACAAACAGCCTAATGTGGGGCTGTTTATTTTTTGCTAATGAAACAAATTTTGCTTTTTTTTTTTTTTTTTTTTAAATTGAATTAATATTTAAATCATTTTAGCTATAATTTTTTACCTAAAAGAATGGTAATTCTATACTCTAAAAGAAAGTCAATTGATGAACAAATTAAAAGTTTAGCTTTTATCCTAATTCTCATTAATTTTAATTGAAGCTTGAAAACAGACCTGTAATATTTAGCCTTAAGGGAAAAAAATGAAGGAAAAAAAATATTTGGTAAAAAAATACTTGGTAGCAACATATGACTATGCATGCATTGGCTCTAAAAGAATAGATTTAACTAAAACTAATTTTTAAAAATATTGTGAAATTTTTGTCAGGTCTAAACTTTTGTTAAGTAACTTACAAGTAATTTTTTGACGTTTTTTTTTTTAATAATTTATCTATTTGCCAAATAAATTTTTGTTTAATAAATAATTTTATTAAAAAACTGCAAAAAAACAAAAAAAAAAATTTCAAAACAAATTTTTGTTTAAAATATTGTGCTTTACAATTGTTTTTATTTAAATTTATTTAAGTCACACGCTAATTTTTGGCAAAAACATGGTCGCCGTTTTTTGTATGTTGTCTCTCTGAGTATATAGTCTCTCTAATTTGCGCGTGCAGCTAGAGCTTTATACCTCTCTAAGGTTGGTGCAGATTAGCCTATAATAGTTATATGGCTTATGTAATAAGTTTTTTACTTATGGTTTTTGTTTTTTCTTTACTATATAATGGTTTTGAATAATTAAAAAGGATTTTTTTACTTGTAGCTTCTTTTTTTTTCTTGAAAAACCAATAAGTTTTTTCTTTTAATTATACCTGCTACGCAATATAGTTGCGCTTATTTGAACTTCCGCTTAATAGGTGTTAAATTTATAATAGTTTTTAAAAAGAAATTTAAATTAATTTTTTTGTGCTATAATAATCTCTTCGTTTTTCAACGATAAAAAAAAAAACGTGAATTATACATGAACTTACTTTTAAAAAATTTATTTGTTTAATTAAAAAAATATCAAGAAATACAAAAACCATTAAACGTCTCTTAATTAAGTTATAAGCGTAATAGTATTAAATAAATATGTCAAAGCAAAATATTAAGTCACCAATTTATTCTTTAATACTAAATCAATAAGAAGTTGTAAACAATTGCGTTTTTGTTTGGTCGTGTTTTTGTTTTACTACAAATAATAAAAAAAGAACTAAGATAAGGCGCAAACAATATACAATAAATTGAAAAACATGAAGAGCTCCTTCGTTGACATAATGAGTGCGTTAATGTTGATACTACTTCAAAAGAAAGAAAGAAGAAGTTAAGAAGAAAAGGAAAGTTTTTTATATAAGTTTTTTAGTAAAATTTGTTAAATCCATCTCACTGGTGTTTTTGGCAAATACTTTAAATTTTTTGTCTAAGTATAGTATTATGGGACTATTTTGCCACAGAATGATGAAATAGTTCTATACTTGAGCCAGGTTCTTTAACAAAATCAGTGAGAAAACTATTAATGCCTTGGGTGACAGTCTACCACCATTTTTGATTTTTAGGAGGAAACTCCTTCCTGATGAAATTTTATGCAAATTAAAATGTAATGAAATAGGCCATATTGAACAAGATCAGTTATTTAAAGCATTTTAATAATTACAGATAAAAGATTTATATGAAAAATTGTTTACTCTGTTTAGACAAAAATAAAAGTCACATTTCTTTGGTTGTTGAATTCTGTACAATAACATTGAATTTGTATGTTTACCTTAACACGGTAATCATCATCTGCAACCACTGGACACTATAATAAAGTATAAAAACATAAGTGGTCAGTGAGAATTTGTCCAATCATCTCTTCCTTGTGATCAATTCTATCTTTTTTTAAGCAGTGTATAGGAAGAGATGGTTGCGAAAAGAAGACTTATTGTAGATATTTCATTTTTAGGCTGTACCCTCTCTGTAATACTGTAAAGAATTACAAGTACAGGCCTCGGCGGGAATAAGTTAGCACAAAAGCGGAGAAAAGCTCTCCTAAAACGAACTTGGGGAGCTATACGAGCTGCTCCTCATTTAAATCGACACTCTTTTTTAATTTTAACTTTTTTTGCAGCAACCATGATTTTTAGAAAGCATTGCAGTATATTATGCAATTAATTTTTTTCTAAATGACATTTTATTTTAGTTACAATGATTATTATACTTTTGTGAGAAAAATTATACTTTTGCGAGAGCTAAAGCTCTCGCTTCCCGCCGAGGCCTGCAAGTATATAAAAAGGAGTCATTCAAAGATAGTAATGGTTTTCAGCAAAAAGATGCAAATTTTCTGTTACTAATAACGATAATTTCTTCTCCAAAGATAAGCAATTCAACTCACACAAAACCTTATTTCTCACATAAGAAGCACTTAAAACATAGAAAACTGGAGGGAAAAAAAAATCTAAAGAATAGAAAATTTCCGGATATCGTTTTCAATTCAAAACTGACAAGTGACTCAAAGAATAGAGAGTTCTTATCCAATTAAATAAAAGTAAGCGGCTTAAAGAAGAGGAAATTATTATCCCTCTTAATTCCAAGTACATCAATAGTTATAACAAAAATAGCATAAAAATAACTCAATGATGTGTGTGCTGTGTGACATGGGTGGATTCATCATAAAACTTGGTCCTATGTGTTTCCTGTCATGGGTGGGCATGCGAAGTCTGCTTTTCCATTGACACCTGCACAGAATGTTCTTAATTTGATAAAGTAACATAAATATTTAGTTCTTTTTACACTGGTGAAATTGCCCCATATAAGTGTGTAGTATAAATTATTATTCTTTAATATAAATTTTTATTTTCAAATGCTGTTGAACCAAAAATAGTTTGATGTTAATCAGTTATTAGGATCAGGTAAAAACTTATCAGGTTGAACAGATAACATTAAAGAAAGTAGGCAAAATCGCCTCATTTACTGTATATATGTGCGTGCATATATATGTGTGTGTGTATTTGCATGTATGTATATTGTACTTCCATTTTTAGGAAACATTTAACAATGTCAAACAGTGGCTTCAAGAAATTGATCGCTATGCTTGTGAAAGTGTCAATAAATTACTTGTCGGAAATAAATGTGATCTTACTACAAAGAAAGTTGTTGACTATACCACTGCAAAGGTATTATAACACAATTGAATCTATATAAAAAGTTGTGTATTGTACTTTTGTATGAAGTTTTCCATCATTTTTTTGGAACTGAAATGATTTGATCTAATAAATAATATTAGCTAAACAATAATATTAGCAAGGACTGGGATGTAAAGTATAATACATCATATTGTATATTTATGTATATATTTATATACTGGCATTTAATACGCATATATATATATATATATATATATATATATATATATATATATATATATATATATATATATATATATATATCAGGCCTTGTTTTAAAGCGTTACGCCTAGAGCGATTTACGTACGCCTTAAGCGCTTTTTACGTACGCGTAGAGCTGTTTTGGTTAAGCTACTTTTTATCATTTTTTAACTTTTAAATTAGCGGTAACATAAAAGAAGTAATTAATTTTCAAAAAAACCACATTAACTTTTAAATAACGATATGTAAAGATATTTATTAAAAAAAAGAATTTACTTTAAAAATACTTGTTGTAACTTTTCATTGCGATATATCTTTCCTCTTATAGCAATTAATTTGACGCTAAACTTTTTATCCAAATATTTAGCAACATGAAAAATTGTTTTAATAACGTAAGTCTTCTCTTTTTCTGTGATCACAGAAAAAGAGAAGACTTACGTTATTAAAATCAAATGTAAGTTATGTGATCTTCATCAAAATAAAATATTATCCAAAAACAATGGTGCCGTAAGGGCAACTGCCCAACGGTTTATAAATAACACAAGTCATGTTAAAATATTTTAACATGTTACTATATTTTAATTAAGTTGGTATATAATTAAAAATAAAAATATAGTTTAATAAATAAATTAAATTTGTTCTTAACAAAGATTACCTCATGTTTATTCTTTTTTTATTTTATTAAGTTAAATTGCTTACAAACGAAAAAAAAAAGAGTTTTGTAATTATACGTAGAATGAAAATACTTTTGAGTTTTTTTATAAGTTAAGGAACTTAATTTTTAATAAACAAATTTATTATAAACAGATACGATTCAAATTATTAAATATACTTAAGTTATTTCAGTTGAGTATTTTTTTAAGTTTGCACGATTAAAGTTTTGCGTAGAAGTATTTGTTTTTTTGTTTTAAGAATAATTAACAAAAGAGTTTGCATAATTAAGACTTTTATATTTAATTAATTTTTTTTTTTAATTTTCTAAAGTTTAAGAAAAAAAGATTTAATCGTTAAAAACGATTTTTCTCTATAGCTCTGTTTCTTTGTGATTTGTTTAAAAAGTAAAATATTTTTACAATAACATAAAAAATTTATGAATTAAATTCCTGGCGAACGCGGCTAAACTATGTATCAAAAATATGCTCAAAGCAGACAAAACTTTTTTATATTTTTATAAAACGCAAGTTAAAACGCTAAACAAGATAAGTTTAACACGTTCACGCCGGCGTGTACCACCGGTGGTACACACTAGACTGTCTCATTGGGCGGCGTGTACCACCGGTGGTACATGCCGCCCAATGAGACAGTCTAGTGTGTACCACCAGTGGTACACGCTGCCCAATGAGACAGTCTAGTGTGTACCACCGGTGGTACACGCCAGCGTGAACGTGTTAAAAAGAATTTAAAAACTTAAATTTTTGCTTGTCAAAACAAAATCGTTGTTTAAATAATTAACATGGGATTGTGTTTATCAATGTTAATATTTTTTGTTTACTCTAGAATTTTTAAAAATAAAAAAAATCATTATTATTTTTTATTCAATAACGATTAAAAACAATTATTCAAAAACAAATTTCAGAAATAATTAAAAAAAATATATATATATTTTTTACTAAATAATATTGAACTAAAATTAATAATAAAATAACAATTGAAAACATTACAAAATTTTCATAATAAATTTACATTTAAAACGTTTATAGTTATTTGAGTTAATTGTTAAATTGAACTAGTTTGCGGTTATTTATTTATTGCGGTAGTTAAAACACTTAACATTTATAAAAAAAAATAAAGATAATTTTATGACGTCAAAATCGCGTTAAGCCTATGCATTAAGCACTTTTTTATTTAAAACAAGGCCTATATATATATATATATATATATATATATATATATATATATATATATATATATATATATATATATATATATATATATATATATATGCACAAGCTAATAAACATCAGCCTTTGGTGTTTATTAGGTCAGTTTTTATTTTACATGTTGTATTTCATGTATTATGTGTTTATTATTTGTTTTTAATAATAAACATCATTTAATAAACATAAGCCTTTGGTGTTTATTAGGTCAGTTTTTATTTTACATGTCGTATTTCATGTATTATGTGTTTATTATTTGTTTTTATTGTGAAACTGTTTTATTACTGTCCAATGTGAAATTTGGTTAACAAAAAGTTTTATTTATTGTAAACTTTTAAAACTAAACATATTATTGATCGAAGTTTAAAGAACTTTTTCTTATATATATTCACTTAATGGTGATAGTTTACTGCTTAAATGCAAGATACTTATTTTTTATAGGGGTAGGAGTTAAGGTTAGTTTTAGTCTAACTAAAAATACTTAACTAAATTTTTAGTCTAACTAAAAATACTTAACTAACTTTTTAGTTAACTAAAATTAGTCAACTAACTTTTTAGTTAACTCAAATTACCCGACTAACTTTTTAGTTAACTCAAATTACCCGACTAACTTTTTAGCTAACTAAAATTAAGCGACTAACTTTTTAGTTAACTCAAATTAGTCGACTAAATATTTAGTGTAACTAAATTTAGTTGACTAAAGCAAGATTTAGTGCTTGAAAAAAGAATAATCTTTCGCATAAAAATTTTACACACGAGGAAGCATTATTAAGACGATAAATATTATTTTATCATAATTAAACACTTAACTAGTTGTGAATCCTAGAGCCCAGTCAAACTAAACTGTTATTCAAAAGAAATGTTTTAAGCAAAACTCGATTATTTTAATTTTTTCCCAGCTCTGAGACAACTGCCTATGAAGTTGTTGAAACTGTTTATAAACACCCAATCAGCATGGAATATACAAATAATGTCCTTTATTCAATTATATCAAATTTGGTATGCTTATTGAACGTTTAACTTATGTTTTTTATGTGCTGCTTCCTATAGGTAGTGTGCAATAACAATCACAAATCAAAAATAGTCTCCTGCCAAGGCCGTACCGACGTGAGTATGGGCACCTTCCCGGGGTTACAACATTCTGTCAGTTTTGTCGGTAATTTAGAAAATTTGAGACTCGGTCGGTTAAAACTGCAACTCGGCTTTTAATTTAAAAAAAGCCCTACTTTGGTGAGATTTTTATGGTAAAAAAGCTTATTTCATTTGCACCCCCTCCCCCTACGTCTTTGTTGTTCAGTACAGCCCTGTCCCCTGCCATATTTTAGGAATGGATTCAATCTCTAATTTTCACAACAAATCTATGACTCCCCCTCCTCATCTCTTCAAATATCTACCTCTCCTAATGGCTATTACAATCCGCAAACACTATAGTAAGGCTAGCAAAAGTATTGACATGAACCCAAAAGGAAATCGTTAAATAAGTTATTATGAATTTATTTTTTTGCTTTCAGAGTATAGTTGTTCGTCGGTTGGCGATACTTGCAAAATTTAAAAGGATAATTGGTATTTGCATTTTTAAATGCAATATCCGCAATATAAGTTGTTGAATAGTGTATAAAATGTATTAAATAATACTTAACTGTTGAATAACGAAAACATTTTAATAAATAACTGCAGTCACTTTTAAAACCAGGAAATTATTTATGACATTTTAGTTACTTGAAAAATGCAATACGTAGTTTTTAAGCACTTTAAAATACATGTAAAACCGGGTCGAAACAGTTATCAATTAAAATTCAATAACTTTTTTATTATATTTATTTATATATTTTTTCATTAGATGTTTAAAAAAATACTAAAGAATATATAAATAAATATGAAAAAAAAAAGCCAAACTATTAAAATAATAAAAGTAAAAAAGTTTGCTGTTTTAGGCAACATTATAATAAAACTGCACGCTCAAGAACATTAAAATCACACATTAATTTTTTTAATTTTCAATTTTTTCTTTATCTTTTTTTTTAACACATTTTAAATTTAAAAAACTATATTAATTTTTTAATTTTTTGTATCAAAAAAAAAAATCAGTTTTACACAAAAGAGTTCGAGTACTAAATTTAATAATATTTCTTTTAGAACAATAGATATATTAAAAAATATTTATTACTAGAAAAAACTTCAGTATTAAATTTAATGAATTTAATCTAAATTAAAAAATTCCAAATTTTCGTACAAAAACATCAATATTTGAAAACATTCAGTTGTTATTCTGTTTTGCTTTGCATACGTAAGTATAAGTTTGCATACGTTTCGCTTTGCATGCATAAGTGTTTAATGCCTCAGAGAAAAGGTGTTCACTTAGTGCACTGATAGCAGGCGTACATAAAATCATTGTTGAAATACAATACATTATTGGAAATACATGTTAATTTTGATACCAAAAGTGTAAAAACATTTTGCTCATTTACTGACAATTTTATATAACCACTAATTTCTCTTTTTAAATCTAAACTTATTATTTTGTCACTATCGTTTCCAGAAATATCATCTTCATCGTCAAATGATAACTTGAATTTCTTTAATTTGTTTGTCACCTTATTAAATAGAATTATATCACAAACTTTTTTTGTTTAATGAAATTTCGACAAAAATTCTTTAACGCATTTAAAAATTTTTTTTCCCTTGTACTTTTCAAAGAATTGAAAACTTTTATAATTTGGATCCAAAAAAGTGGCACATAATAAAACCGAATTATTGTAATATACTGTAGCTTACAGGGCCGGCACAAGTAGATAACACATAGAGAGTGTCGTTAAAATTTTACTTTCTAGAAAAAGGAAAAAAAAAATCTTGTTTTTTTAAATTTACCAACTGACTGTTCTGAAAATCTACATTTGCCAACTTACTTATCTAAAAGAGTCAAGTTGGCTCACTAAATGAGCTAAAAGTTCATTGATGGGATGTCACACACGAAACCAACCAACCCATCCTTACACTCCTATGCGTTGGTCTTGGTAGCTTATTCAATTCTATAGAAATTTGTGTTTTACTATGTTTACTTTTTGGATTTTTTATGAAAAATTTTCTTGAAGTATCTTGTTTATAATGTTTTCTTGAAGTATCTTGATACACTGATACTAAACCTTTGGAACTGAAAATTGAAAGAAAATTATTTTGATATTTTTTCATTTTTGCGGTATTATGCGATAAAATGATTATGCATTGGCAATCTTATTCAAAAATTCTAATAGAAATGATATCATGAACCCAAATTATTTATATTATATATTTATAAAATTATTTAGTTGGACTAAAAACAAAGTCGCGTATATATATTTAACAAAAAGCTTAGTCTGTTAATTTTAGTTAACTAAAAAGTTAGTCTGGTAATTTTAGTTAACTAAAAAGTTAGTCGACTGATTTTAGTTAACTAAAAAGTTAGTCGACTAATTTAAGTTAGCTAAAAGTTAGTCGGGTAATTTTAATTAACTAGAAAGTTAGTCGGGTAATTTTAGTTAACTAAAAAGTTAGTCGGGTAATTTTAGTTAACTAAAAAGTTAGTCAGGTAATTTTAGTTAACTAAAAAGTTAGTCAACTGATTTTAGTTAACTAAAAAGTTAGTCGACTAATTTTAGTTAACTAAAAAGTTTGTCAACTAATTTTAGTTACGGTATTTTTAGTTTAGTTAGTTACAATTTTTAGTTTTGGTCACAACACTAATTTTTTAGTATATATTCATTTGATAAAGCATTAATTTTACTATCATGTGATCTTAATGGTTTATTAAATAAATCCAGAATCAATTTTTAATGGTAAAAGGATTTAGACCTGTTTTCTTCCTGCAATAAAAAGAAAAGGAGTGTCTGTGCTCAATCTTCTATGGTAACATAAACTTTTAAGTCTGATTATTGCAAAAAGACATTAGTTTATACAAAATAATGATGAGATGGAGTTTGTTATTGGTTATTATACTTTTTTGTCAAGAATAAAAATCTTTTTATGGTTTTAAGCTGTTTATAACAAAAAGTCAAACAAAAGGAACTTAATTATTAATAATTAAAATTTTAAACAATTTTTTTTTTTTAATTTTTTTTTTTTTTACACCTTAACTTTTTAAATTTATTTTAACCTTTTTGTTTTTACATTTTACATTTTTTTTTTTATATAGAAGGCAATTTACAGCTTGTCATATTATTTCTGTACAATTGTTTGAGCATTATATGTGATAGAGTATTCAATTGTGAATCTGAGTATAAGTAGATTGCAGTAGATTTTTTAAAAATTATTTTAGTGCTTTAAATCAACTTTATTGTTGTGATAAAAAAAACACTACTTAATTCTTTTATTATTTTTTGAATACCAGTTATTTATAACTGGTATACCATGTTATTTATAGTTGTTATTTATAGCTGTGTTTATGTTTACAAATATTATTATATCTATATCAATAGATATTGTCTGTTAAATGCAGATTTAAATCTTAAAACTTTATAATAAATATACAGACTCCAATTGAAAATATCAGAAATTGGTTACCAATAATAAAAAGTTTCTGATTTTTGTTAATATAATTAATATAATATAACTATATTATATAATAATATTATATATTATATAATAATTATAATTATATAATATATTATCAATTATACTATATTATATAATATTATTATATAGTTATACTATATTATATATAATAGTATAATATAATATAATTGATAATATAGGAACAGTTTTTAATATATGATGAAAAAATTACTTTTATTTAGACTATGTTGCCATTTAAAATTTTTAGCTTTGCATATAATTTTCTTTTCAAAGTATATCAATTTAACCAGAAGCTTTTGAGAAAAGATTTTTTCAAAGTATTAAATGGCCTTTGGCTTTTAAGTTTATATATGCACACACACACACACACACACACACACACACACACACACACACACACACACACACACACACACACACACACACACAGTGTTTAGATAATGAGTCTTGTTATCTAAACACTCTACTATAGAGTATTTAGATAACAAGTTGTTACCTTATTTTTGTTACATAAATTTATTGTCATTTTCAGAAAAAAACAAAAAATAATGAATGTAAAATTTGGTGCTCCATGCCAAACCCTCAGTCAATGTAGCGACACTTCCTTGCAAGAGCAGGCAATGAGATAGTCTATTTATGTACTGAAGCCCCCAGCAGAAGGCTATTTCAATGTGACATCAGATATGTTATCTAAACACGCGTTCATAGTTTATTCAATGCTCATAAATTTAGTGCACTTGATTTCGAAGAAACTTTAGTCTAAACCTTAATAAGGAATGTGACCATCTTTTTTTATGCATAATGCACATCATCAATTAATTAAAAAAAAAAAAAAAAATCATCAATTCTCTTTCATGTTTTAATGGTATTGAGCATTGTCTGTCAAAACATTCACTTTATCTCATTACAAAAAACCACATCACAATTTACTAATAATTGTTTTACTAATAATTGTCTTGATATTTGATTTTCAAGTGCCAGGTTTATTTCTTGTGTAATCTATTTCAATTTTTAATTAATTAGATTTGAACTATTAATTGAGGCAATATGTTATATATAGACTAGCAAGTGTCTTAATATATTATCATGATCAATTCACAGTTGTCCAAGTCATTTTTGGAATCATTTTCGGAGGGTTTTGAGTTATTGACTTAAATCAGGGGTTATCTTTTTCTGAATATATTTGGAATTCCGAATAATTTCTTTCAACATTGATATTATTCTATGATTAATGAGTTAAAAAGTTGAAAAACAAATTTATTACAAAAAAAAAATTTAAATTTGTATTTACGGAAAAATTTTTGGAAATCTGGAAAAATTAAAAGTTGAAAGAAAATTTTCGGAATTCCATATATATTCGGATATATATACCAATAACAATTTTAGTCATTAACTAAACAACTGATAAGTAAAAATTCAAAAAATTTATTTCTCTTATTTGACTAATCCCAGTATAAATACTGGGTAAATAACTTCAGAATTATTACAATTCTGTTATCAATGTAAGTTCTGTTATAAAATGCGATAAAAATTAAAATCAATTGAAGTAATAAAGTTATTAAAAATGTTATTAAAACATTTAAAATAAATTTTCGACTTGTTTTTAAATTCAGTCAACGAGTTGATTTTCCTAAGCTCTAATGGTAGATTATTACAGGCTCTTGCTCCAAAGTAGTAGAAAGATCTATTAGCAAATTCTAGTCAGATTTTCGGAATCTAATTAGGTTGCTGTTATTTCTTGTTGCTTTTGAATAGTTGACAACTTCAAAGTTGTTAGTAAAGTTTGAGCATAATAAACCAAGAATGCATTGCTTCGTTAATAGGCAAGATGCAATAAGAATTTGCGAGAATAGTGATTTTGTTTTTACTTCGTGCTTGCTTTTTGCATTTATTATACGAGATAAATGCAAAAAGCAAGCACGAAGGTGCACGTGTATGCGAAAAGTCTAGCATATTTTGTTTTTGATTTTGGTAGTTTACGCAAAGATTTCTACAGTTAAAACATGTATAACAGTCAACTGGAAACCGCATTCTGCTGCAAGAGGTTTTAACAAATATCTAATCTTTATAAGTTGTCTTAGTCTGCCACATGCTTTTTTATAAGCATTGTTAAAATAACTACTCAGGTTTAGTGTCAGGTCTAGGTCGATACCAAGGTATTTATAGTTCAAGGTGATATATTTCCGAAAAATTATAAGTCCGCCCCTGTATTACTATTTATTATTTTATATTTAATCATTGTTGTATTATAGTTAAAAAAATATAATTGTAATAAAAATGTATTAAAAAAAAAAAAAATTTAATTTTTCTTTTTAGGAATTTGCTGATTCATTAGGTGTACCTTTCTTGGAAACAAGTGCTAAAAATGCCACGAATGTTGAGCAAGCTTTTATGACAATGGCTGCTGAAATCAAAAATCGTATGGGTCCTCCTCAGACAACTGCAGATCGATCTGAAAAGGTTCCTCTTAAGAGCGGTAGTCCAGTAAAACCAAGTGGTGGTGGGTGTTGTTAAATATTCGCTTTTCCATGATTCAAATTCAATCGATTATTGAAGGTCTTACAACACAGTTTCGCGTTGAAAGTTTTTTGTTTTAATGTTCACACCATAAAATCTTGGTACTTATGGTGTTTTCGTTAAAATGTGAATGAACATTTAAGTTTTTATTCCAATTTCAATTTTTCTACATAAATATTATAAAATCTAATAAATTAAAATTAAGCTTAATTGATATCCTATATTTTTTCTCTTGTTTGGTTCACTGCGACGTATCTCAAATATTCTTTTGTATAAATATACTTTTTTTTTCGAGGCTGTTCTCTTTTTTCTTTTTTGCTGTTAATTTTAAATTCAAAGAATATCATTAGATCGATAGCAGTCTGTTGATTGCAAACTCTTTATTTTTGATTACTTAATTAACTCACAATTCAGCTATTAACTCACAATTCATTGCGCAATCTATCTTGGTTGAAAATTATAGTATGAACTTTAATGTTAGCTCATATAATTCTAAGATACTTGTGTTATGAAAAACTTTTAACTATTTATACAAGACCATAAAGGTGCATTAGAAGTAAGCATAGATAAATATTCTGTTATTTTGATATCGCGCATGGTTTTCATACGTTGATTGTAATGAAAAATTTGTTCTCTTGTATCAAGTAATTGTACATAAAATTGGAAATTTTCATTAATATTAATTTTCTTTTTAATTGTTGTAACGTTTCTAATAAGTAAAGTCAAAAGGCCTGGGATTTGTATTGTTTTCTTTATTAGTTGCTAGGTGAATATTACTACACTTGATTTGTATATCTTATTGGAAAAAGCGATTTTTGGTATTTAAACGTTTTCTTAATATTTTTAAATAGTTTTTTTTATTAACATTGTATATGATATTGTTTATACAATCAGCATATCCAGTGTTATAAACATACAAGAAGTGCAATATCATTAAATGTAAAATATAAACACGTTATTTATATTTTTAATAATGAACCTTATATAAATAAAAATAATGATATTTAAAAGGTTTTATCAATTATTTAAAATTTACAAGCATATATTGGATATAAATGGATCAAATAAATCAATTATTTAAAATTTACAAGCATATATTGGATATAAATGGAAACACGTCACGCGCAAATGATTATTGATACAAGGCGTGAACACGGCACAATATAGTTACGCGTTAACGGTTGCGAACTTACTCGTAATTTATTTTTAGGTCAAATGCCAACTGCGAATCGGTAAAATACAAAATTTTTTTGCGAGCCATGATCTTGGTAGTTAATATGCTTAAACGCAGCCGTGGCGCAGAAAGCCATCTTTGACCACACAAACAGTTGTCAGGAAATAGACACAAACTTTCCAGCTCAATGCTTCTGTGCGGTGTTCTGTGATAAAACCGTTAGAGCTTTTTAGAGCACTTTAAATATACAGAATTATAAATTTCTTAATTAAATATTTGAAGTCTCTAAAATGAAATGAATTGGTTCTCAAAAAAGTTCGCTTTTTACCGACAACCTTTCTTTAGTTCTTGTTTTGCATTTTTAAAAGCGTTTAATTTCAAAACAAACAAAATTTATACCAAATATGCAAATGTGAAATTTTTTACTTGAAATGCTTATTCTTTGAGGTATAATCATTTCAAGTTTTTTAACCTTTTAATACGTTTTTTAAACGTATTAAAAGTTCTTAAACGTTAAAGTTTTAAACGTGATAAAACTTTTTAGTATGTTTAAAAAAAGAATTATATTTAATCTTTGTTTGAGATTTAATATTTTTGTACGTAATAAGCTGCAGTTAACAACTACAAAAATATGGTGCTAAAGTTTAAAATTTTAATAACTCAATCTAGGTATTGTAACTTTAAAATTAAAACTTGAAACTTTAAAATAAAATGATGAAGTCAATCTTAAAATATGTATTAGACAGTAGATAATTGGTACCGTGGAAGTCGTTACCGAGAAGGATGGTCTCGAATCGTGTGATACTGTTTATATATTAATGTCGATACCATAAGTATGGGTTGATGGTATCAACATTGGTATGATATCTTAGTTTATCTGACTTCAAATGTTTATTTTAAAGTTTAATCAAATAAAAACAAATTTATTTATATCAATGAAATTTAAGTAATGCTGCTAAAAATTCATCTTGTGATAATGTTAATTATGAAGTTTTATTTTTTTATTTAAAACTTTTTGTTTAAATGATTTTTAAATATTTTAGCGCTTGTTAGCATTTCAACAATTCTTAAATACTTACTATTTTTAATTTCTTAATTTTCTCAGTTATTTTCGGTTTTAATTCTGATCTATATATTATATATTTGTATTATATATATTTGTATATTACGGTTAAGTAGAGTTTTTTTTTATATGTGAGGCTCGGCGATAAGGCAAACTGTGCCTTCTTTTTGCTCCTGCCATTAATTTTGATATATCGCGACGTTAGAATTATCTTGTTCTATCTCCACATTCTGAAAAAATTGATTTAATGGTAGTGTTGTGTTCCTCAAATTAATGTCTTTCTACTGAATTGAAACCTAAGTTATAAGTAAAAAAGGTGCGGAAAAAACGTAAGTTATAAAAAAAAGTTTATACGCCGTCTCCTAAAGATTTTGTTTTTTAAATCATTTTATCTCAAAACTAAATAATGTGGAGATAGAACAAGATAATTCTAACGTCGCGATATGTATATGCAATGTAAACATTCTTTAATGGCGAAATAAATAACACCAAAAAAAAAAAAAGAGAGAGAGAGAGAGATTGATATCACACGATACCGAGAAAGTCTCGTACGTGTAATATCGCTTAAGTGAGTTCCCACTTACATGTTTTTCTACAGGAACGAGAAATGGAAGGGGAAAATAATCACTTGAGGAAGCTTAGTTTTCCTTCGAGCAAATTAAAACTTGTACTACGCATGCTTACGTGATTATTTTTTCATTTCCTTTCTCGTTCCCGTAGAAAAACGGATGAGCAGAAACCCACTTTAACGTTCTAATATCAATACCATAAGTATTGATTCGATACCGCACGATACCGAAAAGAATTGTATGGTATCTAATGGTCGCATAGTCTAGATAATTTTAAAAAAAAATGAAAATGTGACATTTTGAATTTTTTAACCAATAAAATACAAATAAGGTTAATTTTTAGGCCATTGTCCGTTTGTTGCTTTTTCCACAAACTCTCCTGCCAATTCTCTTTCCGATGAAAAACGTTACAATAACGGTACCAGATAACAAATTAAAATACAGAAGCGGTACCACGCAATTATTTAAATTAAAATAACGATACCAGATGAGTAATCAAATGTTAATATAATGCTAACGAGAATTTCTACTATTCTAAATAAGTTAATTATATACATTAGGGCGGAGCAATTGAAAAGTTTTTTTGAAAATTTAATTTGTCTGACATATGAATCCTTGCATTTTAGTAAAAAAAGAACCTTACTTTTTTTTTTTTTTTTTTTTTTTTGATGAATTCTTCAGGTTCCTCTAGAAATTTCAAAATCTCACCGGGTCCTAATATAAGTGAAACTTTTTTTCCCATAGACTATAACAACCTGGGACTCAAAAGAAGCGGAATAAAATGGTTATTGTGAAAATAAGAATACTTTTAAACAAAAAATTAAGAAAAAAATGCACCTCAAATAAGTACTTTATTGCGCATTCTTCTCAAAACCCCGTAGGATCTGTTATAAATGTTCATCTTTTAGAAGTTATCGTATCTATAAACCAGTAAACACACAGTATTTTATCTTAACTTCACTCAGCCTTCGAACTTCTCTTTATGGCGCTTATAATTCTTTATAATTTGCAAGTTATATGTAATGATTGTAACAAAACCTTCGTATGGTCCAATACTGGGATGTGCTGCACAAACTTCTAGAAGCTTCCAGAAGGGCCAAAATATTTGTTTTACAGTAGTCAGATCTTTTGGGAGAATAGATTGTCCACTTTTTTCTTTTTAGACATTCCGTGCTGTTGGGACAGCACTATACAAAAAACAGAAGGCTCTCTCCGTATCATAAGAACATCAGAAGGCATAGAATAGCTATAGAAGGCATGGAATATTTCAATATATATATGGCAACCATCTTTTATCTTGGTCTCCAATCTTGCACTCAAAATAGCAAAGATAAGTCTCCCTAATGACTAGAGATTATTTTTGTGTGGAAAATTATCAGCGTTATTTACTCAATTTTGAGGCGTTTTGATATAACTAATGCTAACTGGCACAATAAACTCATATGCTCTTCTCAAAAGTTTGTCTGTAACTGAGTCATAATAGAGGAAGTTTTATATAATCAGTAATATCGACTCAACACAGAGTAATTGTGTTCAAAAATATGATGATTCAGCAGAGCTGAAATGAAGATGTACTTAATGTTTAATAAAAAAGGCTGTTTTTGAGTAAAATTTAATTTATCATTTAGACTTGAGCTAGACATCATTTTTTTAGAGTAAGTTTTATTATCATTCTTTTTTGAGCTAATCCAAATTTGTAATATTTGGCTAATTTTAAGTATATGGCCATATCTTTTAAGGTACTGTGCTATAAGCAAAATACCTCGATTTAAATTACCTTTTTTTTACTTTTTTTTTTTTACTTTTTTTTAAATTTTTTGATGGATAAAACTTGTATATATTATTTTATACATTATATATGTAAATAATGTATAAAATAATATAAATAATAAAAATGGCCGGACCTAGAAAAAAACATCAGTTTGTCTTGACACTAAATCCAGTTATGGCTTCTCTAAAGTGTATAAAGAAGTTTCATATTAAAGTAAATTTTACAATTGGTATAACTACTAAAATTATCTTTTTTTTTTTTTTTTTTATTTATTTATTTCGTCATATATAAGCATTTTACAATGTTCTCGTTTCCAAGTTTAATAAAATAAATCAAAATATAAAGAATGACAGAAGCAAGTAGAAGACATAAGTCATGTCGTCAAGCCCCTTCAATTTGTGTGATATATTTTTTACAAAGTATCCATAGTATATAAAATATAATAATTTATATTCACTATATAAAGCAAGTTAAAATAACAATAATAAAATAAAATTTGCTAAATTTTAAATAAATAGAATAAAGAAATTTAGAAGATTAGCTTTACAAGTTTTTTCAACAAAAAAATAAATAATCATTTTATGTAGCAATTTAAAAATAGCTATACTATAATAAGACTTCTAAAGTAAAATATAGAAATAAAATACATATAATAATTATTTACATTTTTTTTTTGTGTGTCATTATCTTATTATATACAAATACTCATTACATAATGAAAATAAATATAAATTTTATTGTAATAAGATTAAAATACTTCAAAAGTAAAGTAAAAAGCAAAAAAAAAAAAAAACAGCAAGAAAAACAGCAAGAAAAACAAATAAGTAACGTAATAAAAAATGAAATTTTAAAACTAAAAATATAAAAGTATGTTTGTATCTGTTAAGTCGAGCAAATTCTGTTTAACTACATTTTTAAAAGATTGTATTAAGGTTATACTTTTCATTTTGTCGTCAAGAATTCTGTTCTATAGACGAGGTCCTCTATATGAAATTGAGTAATCTGTTTTTTTTAATGTTGCCTTAGGTAAGTTAAAATTGTTAATAGAGCATCTCGTTAAGTATTTATGAGAAATAATTGAAAAATGATTGTTAAAGAAT